TTAGGGGGGACCTATTAAGGAATCTACTACTTGGAGGGTCATGGGAACTTAGTGGGTAGGTTTAGAGCCCTTATAAACCATATAATAACCCCAACTATCCCCATTATTACCGTCCTTACTCTCCCCTTGACCCTCCAAGTAGGACTTAAGTCCGGGGCTCACATACCCTCGATCTAGCACTTACTGTTTTTCCGTCTGCGTTTGCAAAGGTGGGCTCGGAATTCGGGAGATTATGATAGCTGTAGTCTACACTCCTAGTATCCCCCTTAATAACCCCTATAGTAGTCCCCTGTATAACCCCTAAACCCTAAACCCATAATTATGCGGGGGTTTCCCACAAATCCGGGGGGTACTCTTGGAGGGACTTAGAATTCTATGACTGGTGGGTTCTATTAGGGTTCAGGGTTTAGGGTTACAAGTAGTTGCGAAGTCCCATGCGCTTCCAAGCAGGGTTTCCCAATTAAAGTTCCTGGTACCTTCGAGGGATCTAGGGGTTCTATGGGAATTTTTTAGAGTTTAGAGTTTCCTAAATTTAGGGGCATCTTTCTTGGGTTCCCATTAAAAGGGTTGATGTATTTTGGTGTCTATCTTGCGGTCTTCCTATTTCTGGAAACTGCCATGTGGTTTTAGGGTTTGGGGTTGGCGAGTTTTCTGCATAAGTCCTTCTTCTTACAAGTATATCTCTCTATCTGGTTTACTCTCAAATGTATGAGCCCTTTTTTGGCTACATATCATATTTCGGCACCTAGAATTCAGGGGTACCAAAAAGGGGCCCTAATTTTGGGAACTGCCCGTCTACTAGCAACAGAAGTGAGGTCTAGCGCTTGTTGCAACAGTTCGGGGTTTAGGGTTTTAGGGTTTAGGGTTTGGGGTTTGGGGTTTAGGGTTTAGGACAGTAGAGGCATGACAGAGACCTACATTACTTCCATAAGCGAGAAAGAACCCGGATACTGTTTAGGGTTTAGGGTATTTGGGGTCTAGGGTATTTAGGGTTTAGGGATTCAGGATTAAGGTTTAGGGTTTAGCCAGGTGCCACATGTTCAATACCCTGGCGATGCCCGGCACGCTGGCCGGGCGTTCAGCAGCCCGAATCCTAGTGACTTTGTGGTGGCGTACACCTGGATCGATGTCACGGATCCTTCAAAGGGGGATATAGGGGTTCTTGGGGTATTGTAGGGATACTCTAAGGATTATACGGCTTAGGGATCCTTTTATACCTTTTTGGGAATGGGATTCCGCTTGTATAGACGGTTTATAATTATACAGGTTCAGAGGGCTCGTATAGGGTTTATAAGAGCTTCATAATGTCATTGGGTGCTTACAAAGATTCCCCCCCCTGTGGTCTTGTGGTCCTGTGGTGAGGGCTTATAGAGGGTCGGGTTTATGGAGAGTTCATGGTCCTTGGGGTTATAGATGTGGCTCATACCATGGGGGTGTCTGAGAACGCTGAGCGCGGATAGGGAACATGCATGTGTTGAAATTTGGCGGGGCAAGCGCATCTAGTGACTATTCCTATCTTGCCGGCTGGTACTACGCAGTGGGAGTTCAGCATGGCGAGAGATCATACTTTTGTTGCACAAATGGACGCACCCCGACTCCCAGCGAAATGATGGCGGGTAGGCTGCCAAGTCCTTCACCATGGCCACTTGGTGGCTTGCTGACGGTCGGAATGTCGATGCCAGCTGCTGGGCGATCCTGGAGCCAAGGCCCGTGACCGCAAAGGAGTCTTCACGAAGCTCCCAACCTAGATCAGAGGTCCAAGCAAAGCTGGCTAGCAGTTCGCAGTCTTCCCAGCTGGGACTGTCATTTCGTGCCATGGGATTGTCACTTCGTGCCATGGGACTGTCACCTCGAATCATGGCATTGTCGCTTCGTGCTATGGGATTGTCACTTCGTACCATGGGTTTGTCACTTCATACCATAGGGTTGTCAAAACGTACCATGGGACTCTCACCTCGTACCATGGTACCCGGGGTTGTCACTTCGTACAATGGGATTGTTATTTCGTACCCTGGGATTGTCACTTCGTACAATGGGATTGTCACTTGATACCATGGAATTGTCACTTTGTCAATTAGTTCGTACAAAGTTTTGTGAAACCAAAAGTACGACATTATGAACCCAAGGTTCGAAATTACAATACCAGTGTCAAGGTTGTGCAAAACGATAAGACCATGGTACCAAGAGACAATCCCATGGTACGAAGTGACAGCTCCAGTAACGATGCACCTGTTCGAATATCAATTCCATGCAAGTTGACACAGGGCCCGACCTTGGCAGCCAACGGGCACCGCAATGTGCAAACACGCGATTCGAAAGCGTTGAGGCCACTAGTAAGTGGAATTGTGCCCGACTGTCTTCAGCAAGCCTTTGCAACCCGCGCAATGCGACCTCGCAACCCTGAAAACGACAGACAGCAAGCAATGAAAAAAAAAAGATATTGCTAAAGAAAGAGCGCATTTGGCACGATGTTGTATGTACAACGCAAGGCATGTCGTCCAGAGATAAACGGTCAAGCTTAGGAATTCTATACAAAATGGCGCTGCCCGTTTTCGCAGCATCTCACCTACGGCAGTCTTCTAATTGCTCTTCCAATGTAGCACTGTGCAAACAGTTGAAGATGTACTGTGAGATTACCGTGATTGCTTCCGTTTCATCATGTTGTGAGGGTCCCAACGTTATCCAGGGTTTAGGGTTAGGGCTAAGAACAACCCCTGACATCCCTCATTATGAATATTCCCCCTAACATATGGCAGTTCCCAGACAAGGGCACCCTATTATAGACCCCAAAATACTATAATCCTTATTCTGGGGATTCCCAATACGGTATCTCTAATTTTGGGAAACCCCATACGATGGTACCATTTTTAGGAGGTTTAATTTGTAGAGGGTCGGTGTGGTTTTTTTAGGAGAGCAGATTTCAACGTTCTTGAAATTGGATGGTTGGACGCAAGTAGCCACCTAGTGTTGATATTGGATATCCTGCATGACCGTAATATACTATAGCGCCATGAATTCCAGGGTTTAGGGTGCGTAGGGTGAGGCAGGATTCCCCTTTATCCACCATACTAATCCCCAATTCGCCTTTCCTCGGCTTTGCTCGAGGAGCTTGGTGCCTACCACTTGGACCCCTGGCGGTCATGGCTCCCCAATTAAGGGAGCCTTTTGAGAGCTCCACGTATGAGAGTTTCCATGAATTGGGGGTCCAACTACCCATACATGGAGGTCGGGTGATGATATGGGACATCAAGGAAGCGTGAAAAAGTTCCCTGTTATGGGTCTTCGGCTTAGTGTTCAGGGTTTAGGATCCCCCTTACACACAGCCTCCTTGGGGATTCCTGAATCCAGTTTATGTTTAGCAAGATGCTGAGATCACTCCCATAAAGATGCCGTTTCCACTTAATATCCGCACTCCCCACTCCCAAATATTGAATCTGTCCTCCAACTTGCGGGGTCTCTTACACGGAATTTATTGGGGCATTTCCGCCAAACACCCCCCCACTAGTGTTGAACATATTGTCCCACCCTCTCTTCATACTCTACCGACCTGCCCTGAACCCTTAACCTCGAAATATACCAAATACCAAATGCTTGGGGCGTCATCACTTACAGGTTCTGATACTTTTATAAAGAAAGTTACAGTACTGTTTCGTAACGTAGCCACCTAGTTTTGGGTTAACGTTACAATCCAATTTCGTTTTTCGTGATATACCTATACTACCTGTACATAAACCAGAAGCCCCAGCTGCAGCCTTTGCAAGGTCATGCCCCATCTGCACCCTCTCAGACTGAGAAAGGCTCGAGGGTTTGGGGTCTGGGGTTATATCAGGATCATGGAAAAATGGAAGCTACTATAATGGGTTATAGGTTATAGGTTTTAGGGTTTTGGGGCTTAGAGTTTAGGGTTTGGGGTGTAGGGTTTGGTGTTCACGGTTGAGGGAAAACGCTTTCAGGATTCAGGGCTTTTCTTACCCTCCGGTGGCCAGACCTCAGAGCGATAAATTCTCAGCTGCCATTCTGCTGGGTCGCTGTAAAGGAGTTCAAATTCCCTTACCATAATATGGGTATGTGGCAACTGTTAGCATTTCCATATTATAATAACTTAAACTGAATTCCTTAACAGCACCCCAGTCTGCTTGAAGCCCTTTACATGCAGGATTCCTCGACTCTACTCATTCAGGTTACGGTATATGCCACAGAGGCTGAACAAGCAAAAGAGATCTGAACATCGCACATGTCCAGAATGATTGTTGTAATATGCAGACACGCATGAACCCGTTGAAGAAGCTAAGGCTTGTCTCCAAGGATCCAAAGTACCCAAGTATAGATCTATCTGGCTCAGAGTCATGGCTTTGGGTGTTTACTTCATACTTGGGCGCTTGGATCCTCAAGGTATGTGCAAGGCCTTGTGGTGACACTGGCGTGGGTTTCATGTCTTCATGCTCTTTACGCGGGATTATCAAAAAGGGTTGAATGAATGATCTTGGCAAGTCATTCTCGGAATCCTCAACCACCGTCCTCCAAACTCTTTGCCCGAATAGCGTCTGAAGAAACATAGCCATTCACAGCCCATATTTACTTTCCGCTTTTGGGTTGATGAGTTTTTTTTCATTTATGGTCGCTGCAGGCTGCCTTCAACGTGGACACTTCGCTGATCATGTTTGGCTGCCAGCGCATGGAAGTAGGAATCAAACTTTTCTCGCACGCGCGACATGGCAGAAGAACAGCCTGAAACTTCTCCGAGGAAGGTCACGCTTCTGCGGCGGCTGGCCTGTAGATTTTTAGGCTTGGTCAGCCCCGCCCAAGATGACAACCGTTCGATTGGTTCCGGTTCCATGTTCGATTTGGGGCTTTCCAAGACAGACCACAGCATCAACATCAAGTTCGGAGCAGACTGGCAGCTTTTGGGTTTGGGTGTGGTTGCCGTGTGCCTGAGGGCGCGGTCAGCCATGGGACAGCCCCGAGCCGCTGCTCGCATCTTGCGGCCTCGAAGGCCCCAGCCTCTGCTTCAAACTCCAAAAGCACGCACAGGGGTCATGACACTGCGACAGCGAATGTGGAATTGTATTGCAGTTCCAAGTGTCGTGATTGTGGGAATTGCAGCTTGCGCAGCCTTCCATGAGGAGACCGCCACTATGATTCAACAGCTTGAGCTTATGAGCACACAGGCTCATGATCAGGAGGCGGAAGACGACCAGATGGAAAGCAACAGTGTGCATTTTCGGTTGCAATGGGACGACAGCGCAAATGCCATCCTCTCGGGCAAGAAAGTTAACGTGCACCGATTTGTTGCTGGCGGGCGTGCCTGGAAAGTTGTCATTTGGCTGCGCGATGGTGGCGAAGTTGGCTTCTATGTTACACGTCAGGGACACCGCGCCCAAATGCCATTCACAATTGAGATCAAAAAATGTTTCGAATCGACCGCTCTGGAAGTTTTGGCAAAAGAGAGCTTCGGTGACTGGGGAAGTATTGCAGTTGACGGCAAAGGGCCTGTCATCCCGCTTGCCATGCTTCGAGATGTGGAAGCTCTTGACATCACCATCACAAGAGATGGCCCGCTGAGACGTGCAAAACTTCCTTGGCTTGACGCAGAATGACTCGGGCGGAGAGATTAGGCATGTAGTTTGGGGCTCACAGGATTTGCCACGCTGTGGTACGGCACTTATGCATATCTTGGATTCAGCTGGCTACTGCATGGAATTTGCCATGCTGTGGTACGGCACTTTTGCAACTCGCCGTTCCTTGCACGTTTTGCTGCAGATGCACAAGTGAAAACTGTGTACGTGCAGCTGTTTCAGCACATTCTTGTAGAGAGTGTGCAGATATGCACGGGGTATCAGCTGTCATCTGCATTTGTGATGTATGGCCTGAACGTTGGACGTCCATAAATGACCGTCTTGCAAATCTTACTCGCACTGTTGAGCCTAGGACATGAAGCCCAAACCCGGAATTCATGGCACTGTTTTCGTACAACCTTCGTACTACATGAATTATGGGCAGTAAGTCCCAAGAAATTGCTTTCCAATCCTCCGCAGCCTTGTGTAGTACAGGCACCGCTCAACATCATGGTTGCACCCAGAGCATAGGTTAAACAGGCTAAACGTATTTCAGCATGTCTTCAGATAGGGTTCAGATACTTAACGACGAGTTGGCCTCCACTTCACAATTTCGTGTCAACATTATCTGGTTCAGGCTGTTTAGGGTTAAGGGTTTAGGGTTTGCGGTTTAGGGGTTTAGGGTTTAGGTTGAAACCCGAGCCTGGGGGGCCTCCAGCAACTTGCGGTGCCTTTGGCCGTGGGCTGAGGGGTTCCTAGGATCCAAATCATGTGCCCGTTCTATGGAGCCCTCATCGGGCATCCTTACATAGACCATATACCCAACAAGGGCCCGTACTTCAAACCCAAGCCCAACAAGGACGAAGAGGCTAGGTGGCCCATAACTGCTTCGAACTGTGGTAGGGGCACCCATGATAACCCAACATTTTTTAGAAACCAGAACCCAGAAACGCTTACCCATACAAAACTGCTGCAACCTCCACCGAAAAAGGACGGCAATCAGACGTGCCCTTCGCCATGCCCCGCGTGACGAATAAGGTGGGCCTGGGGGGGGTACCGACAGGCCTGAGGTTAAGGGTTTAGCTAGAAAGCTTAGTTGCCCAGAATAATGGGCTTGGGTTTTAGGGTTTACGATCATAATTGGCTATTTTACCCCAAAGTACTAGGAAAGTAGGGGAAAGTTGCTTGTAATTATGGGCTACTGGCTTTCCATGTAGGATTTAGTGAAAAGCCCTCCCCCTGATAGTTACGGTTTTATCATGTAGGATTCGGAGAGCATCCTCTACATAAGCCCAGAATAACCCGATAGGACTTTGGATAACCCTTATATAAATCCTCACTTGGTTCTAGGAGATCTAATTATAGATCCCATAGGATATCTGGGCTATACCAATCCCCTTCCCTGCTACTACCCCCACTACTCAGTATACAATGGAATTGTATTGGGGGTTACGGACAAAATCCTGCATGACAAAAATATGCTCTACTAGTAGGGTTTATGGGCTTAGTGTTTATGGAAGGTTGTGGTGTATAACGTGACGCCATCATGCCAAGACGACTGCCCATGTAAAATTGCTGTATGGGATTCCATGTGAGTCTGGCGGAGGATGCACTTGTCAGGATTTGGTGTTTTGAAACCGAGCATTGAGGGCTGATGATACAGCAGGTCTACAGCATGAACCTTAACAAGGGAATTTGAAGAAGAGGATGTCGAGAGTTACCGGAAAATGTTAAGGAGTGGGTTTAAGCTTCGATCTGCAAATTCAGAGGGCTTGTGTCGGCATGAGAGTATTCCTACTTAGGGCAGATACTTCAACTTCAGGATTCGGCTTTAAAGGTTGAGAGTTTAGGGTTGAGGGTTTAGGGCTTTGGGTGTAAGGGTTTGAGCTTTTGAGGGTTTAGGGTGTCCAAGGCTCACACAACTGGGTCAGCGCTTGGGAGATTTCGATTAGGTAGCCTTGTTCCTCCTTAAAGGGGCTTCTGCTTCCTCACCCTATGACTTCTGATAACCCAGGCAACCCCCATTCTTAATTCAATTCCTAAGTCCCCATGACCCTCCAAACAACCCTCCAGAAGCCAACTTGGTTTCTGAGCCTGCTTAGGGATTCCGCATAGGTATCTCAACCAACCTATGGTATCTCATTCCTGGTTTGGGGTTTAGCTTTTTAATTCTACGCCTTGAACCCCAAACCCTAAACCCCTAAACCCTAAACCCTAAACCCTAAACCCCTAAACCCTACACCCTAAACCCGAAACCGTAAACCACGTTTATTGGGGTTTAGGATTCCGGGCCTCTCGGGCTACCCAAAGCGACCATGGAAACTCGACCAGGCCTTTCAAGGGGACGTGTTGGGTTTAGGGTTTAGGGTTTAGGATTTATCTGGATTTTCTGTAAATCGCACTTTCCTCTTCCGAGGGGGTACGTCATAATAGGAGTACACTATTTGGTGGTCAATATTAGGGTTTCCTGTTTCGGGAACCCTCAATATGTCTATTCCAAACCCTGCCTGGACCGTCAGGGGACCTAGTACGTATACTTGTAACCCGTATACGGCTTGTAAGAGTTTGAGTTATCCGCAGCATTAACAAACTTAACACATCACCCCAAGCCCTAAACCCTGCACAGAAAGCTTAGTTACCCCAAGTAATGGTGTACTTTCAGCCAAAGCAGTAGGAAATTGGGGGAAAGTAGATTATAATTATGGGCTACTGGCTTTCTAGGTAAAGCCTAAGCCCTAAACCTTAAAGTTACAGCCTAAAGCTGAAAGCCTAACCTAGTCAGCCTGACAATCCAAATAGTCCGTTTCTTGCAGGACCTCGAAGCTTGGGCTAATGGATCTGCAGTGCGAGGTCACGTCTACACGAGGCGGTTGAGGGTTTAGGGTTTAAGGTTACATTCTCAAAAAGGGCATTCCCTAATTACTGCCCCCCCAGTAAACTACCCCGATGTTTTGGTGCAACATGTATTTCTAGGGTGTACAGGGGTCGACTGTCAGGTTTTAGGTGCTGGGGACTACACATAGGGTTCTGGGCTTTAGGGATTACATGTAGGACTTACTTACGTACTTACGTTTTAGGGTTTTGGGATCTCGAGGTCATGTTGAACGCGGGTGTTTAACGTGAATGTTACAGCGGATTGCGGAAGCCTAAACCCTAAGCCGTTCTCATGGGTTCAACTAGTACCCCCCTCTATACTACCCCCCCTAGGTTCCCCCCTGAATTCACCTGAACTAGGCTAAACTACCCTTACTAACCGTAATTAAGGGGGGAACCTAGGGGGGGTAGTATAGAGTGGGGTACTGGTTGAACCCATGAATACCACGGTCTAGGGATGTCCGGAGAGTGCTTTGTATTGTTGGCTACACAAAGCCGGGGAACAGATGCCATTGCTTTTTGTGAGGGTTCCGAGGCAGAGATTCAGGTTTGGGAGTTTCCTAGAAAACGTTGTAGCCCATAATGATGGGCTATGTTAGCCCAAAGTAGTAGGAATACTGGCTTTCTAGGTTAGGGTTTGGGGGGATCAGGTTTGAGGGTTGAGGGTTCAGGGTTGTTGATACTAAGGACCCTGCATGAGATAAGCAAAGTTCAATACTGTAACTCCCAAGGTCTAACGTGCTTAGGGTCATGCAAGATTGTGGTTCTCAAGCGTGCCTTCAGGTTCAGCCCCGGTGCATTTGAAATCCCTTCAAGGTGTAAGCCATCATTGGGGACAATTGGGGCCAGTAGATCATTTAGGTAGGCTCAGGAGACCGGAAAGCCTCAGATAGTTTCCTTTCACGACCATTTCTTCCTTCCCCATTCGTTGTGCGCTACTTCCAGCGCCCAGCTAGTCAACATGGCAGACCAGCGTAGCA